CCTGTGCAGTTAAAGAGGATACAGTTACATTGCAAAATAGCATATGAATTGCATCCAGGAATGGGAGGGGAAGAACTGTGGCCAGCCCAACCCTTTGCAATCACAAACCCCACTGTGTAGTATTAACCTCCTGGGTTCTGGCCCTGCCGATACAGCAGCTCAGGCAGCTACCTCCAGGCAGAGGTGACTGTGCAAAGGACATTACCTCTGATTCTGGTCTCTGCTGTATTCCCTTTAAACAAGCAAAGGGCCTGAGAGATTGCAAAATCAGTGAAACTAGCTTCTAGGGATCTCTGCGTGCTGTAGAAAGAGTGGAATGGTGCTGTACCCTGCTTCTCATGTTGGGGGTGGGAATGGGGGTGGTTAGGAAGGGCTGGGCTGGAATGCAGTTGCATTATGGCTCTCTCCAGCCTTCACAGTGTTACTTTGGGGCCACTGTAGTTGAACACCCACAAGAGCAGCCCTTGTCTGGGGGACAGAAGTAGTTGCCAGCGGAGTTCAGAAACCAGGGGACTGCAGAGAGGCGTACAGTCTTTGCATCTCACTTTCAGGCTACATCAAACAGAGTTCATTCAGCTTCCACTGAAGATTAAGGCCCACTTGCCACTTGTGGAGGGTATGGTCAGCCATACTCACCTAGTCACTATGAACATACTTGTTTTTACATCCTGTAGGAAGGAGCTCAGAAGGCCAGATGAAAGGAAACTTGTAAAACCTTAGCATGAGTGAAGTAGTCCAGATTGGAACAATTTAGGGATGGAAGGTAGCTGTTTGATGTCAAGTGTGTCTCTTTCTGTTCTGTTCTGTTCTGTTCTGTTCTGTTCTGTTCTGTTCTGTATGGGAGAGTTTGTTCTGCTTTTCAGATCTCCACCATGCCCGTCAGAATCAGTCAGCCAGTTTTACTCTACTCTGCTATGATGCACTGGGGGAGCAGATGGGGAGAGGAGGAGAGTTCGTCAGGGTCACAATTGTTCACAAGGATAAGAAGGACTGGTGAGTTGCTTTTCCAGGGGATGCAGAGTGATTCTCTTGCCTTCTGTCTTTAAAGCCTTTGCTATCAGCTTGCTCCCACTTCTGGCACCACTTTCTCTCTGATCAGAATCACATGGAAGTAAGAGATGTCAGTAGTCAGGCCAGGATTTACCTGGAGAATGGCAGAACTGTGCTTTGGCCAAGACCAGTTGTGCTCAACGTTTTGGTCCCATGAGCCAGATAACTGACAGGGTTGGTCCATGGGCTGGATTGAGTTCCATGTGCCAGGATTGGGCCCTGGAGCCCAGCACTGCCCCATCCCACCCCTGGGCCCTAGGATTGGTGTATGGGGGTCTGACCCCTCCCCCTTCCACCTTAGCACCGTGGGATTGGGTCCCAGAGGCCTGGGGCCAAAATTGGTCCCTGAGGGCTTGGCACCATCCCCTCCCAGCCGAGCATGCTGGGATTGCGTCTCAGGGGCCTGTGTCACCCCTTCCAGCCCCCTACACTGGGATTGGGCCCTGGGGCCTGGTATCACCCCCTTCCAGCCCCCCACATGCCAGGATTGGGTCCTGGGGCTTAGTGCCACCCCTGTTCAGCCCTGCATGCTGGGATCAGAAGTGGCTTTTACTCCGCAACAAGACAGTACTTTATTTACAACAAGTACTATCCTGCTGTGGAGTAAATTAGTTCGCGCCCTGATCCAGTGTGCAGGGCCTGGGGCTCCCCACAGGTCCAGAAATTTGGCAGTGGGGAAACAACATGGCCTGTGGATTAAGCACCCCAGGCCATGACTGCAGCAGCTGCGTCACAGTTATTGTCTGTGGATGCCTTGCAGCCACAGTGTCAAAATAATTTGGCCCTGCAGTGCAGTCCAGGACCAAATGATCTATCTCTGGGGTGAACAGTGATAGCATTAACCTCCTTGGAACTGGCCCTGGCAGCCATGGGGGTTGCTGTTGCTGCCTCTAACCCTGTTGCCGCAGACTTGTGTCCTCGGTGGAGATTATGATCCAAAAGTTTGGCAGCAGTGTTGGCCCCAGTGGCTGCCTGAGCTGCTGTGCAGGTGGGGCCAACACCCAGGAGGCTAACAGCGCACAGAATTTTATCCCCAGTGAGGATTGCAACCCAGAATTTTGGTGGCAAGATGGGCAGCAGCAGTGTTAGCTCCCTGGGTGCTGGCCCTGCCGTGCCAATACAGTGACTCTAGCTGTTGTGGGAGTTAATGCCATTGCTGTTCAACCCACTGCTGCATTTCTGGTCCTGTGGGAAGCCTTGCAGGCTGTATGTAGCCCCCAAGCCAGATGTTTGATACAGCTGCCTTAGAGATTTAGCAGTGCTGTTAGCTCCCAACATTCAGTTTTACAAGATTTAGGCTTTTACAAACTCTTCCCCGCACAGTTGGTATGAATTGCAGCTGGTCTAACTTGGTAGTGTTTTATTGTACTCCTGCTATGTTGGTATACATGGCTGCACACGGAGCAAGACAACAGAGAACTGGGGCTTAGGTTTTAGATAATATCTCATTTTAAAAGGTGTCTTTGTTAATGCTTCAGCATCCTTTCCTCCTCCAATAAAGAAGTATCAGCTCAAACAAAACTGGGTTGGAGGTCTTTCTGCAAAACCAGGGAAGACCAGATTTGACACTTAGGGTATTTCTATGGTAAAAAATATGAAACAGATCAAAAATCTTGTGAAACAAGGTTTACGGTGAGCTGGAGTTGTTGTAGAGCAGCAAGAAAGGGTATTAGCACAGTTGGGGAAAAAAATCTGTCATGGTGATCTTTGAAGATACAGCTGGTTCCAGAGGGGCCTAACCCAGAGCTGAGTGCCAGCCTAGCTGTTGATTGGTTGCCATGATTTAGGAGAGAACAAAATGCTAAAACTCTGCTATGAGGGAAACTGAAATCTGCCATCATTCAGGAGTCTAGCTTTGATTATAGATAGTCCCCTATATGGGTTATATCTTGGTTCAGGCCACCCAGCAAGCAGAAGTGACAGGTCCAGCAATTACATCTAACACAAGAAAGGGAAGCATCACCCTGTATGTAGATACCTACTGAACTAGAAGCATTGCCATTGGACTTATCTCGTCCTTCCATCTGCGCTCCAGACCACTTGAGATGAAAGAAAAGTGCACACAACTCACCTGTCCTTATGGAGGTTAATTCTGATAATGGGAGGAGAGATCACTGAAATCACATCAACGTGGTTTCACATTCCTATGTATCTGTGATCGCTTCCTCCCCTGCATAAATAGTCACATCTGGGGAGCAGCACAGCAGTTGTTGAACAATTCAGAGCCACATTTAATGGCAGGGTGATGTCTGAAGATGAAGTAGATGAGTTTTCAGTTGAGATGACGGGCAGAAACCAAGTACATGGTTCTGTAAGGGTTATAAACTATCCTGTTTCAGGGCAAAAGCAGTTCTGATTAGTAGAAGCAAAGGACAAACTTTCCATCTAGGCAGGCTGTTCCAGAGACCCCTGCTGCAGGGTTTCTTGTACCTTCTTCTGAAAGACAAATAGCACTGGCCACTGTCAGAGACAGTACACGAAACTAAAGCACTGGTCTGCCTCAGGACAGCAGTGGTAGTTACCACTGAGCACTACCAGTAATTTGTATTTTCATTTCAAGGTGCCTTCAGTGCTGATGCCTCCTGCCTCTTGGGATAAGCTGCCTTTGCTTTCCCCTGCCTTTCCTTTTCCTCTCCTTTCTTCCCTCATATTCTTTCCCCTGTTATTTACACTCCCTCCCCCTTTCCCAGTTAGAAGGCAGCAGCAGATCAGAAGTACTTTGGCTGCAGCAATGTGGGCTCCTGAATGATGGGTTTTGCTTACTTGTACTTGCCTGCAAGTGGTGATTCCATCTCTGCCTGTGTCTAGTGTGTGGTCAGCGCATTTCATGGCTATAGTGTCAAAAGCATTGTAGTGATGTACTGGAGGGACCCTGCAGTGACCTCCCCACTCTTGCATGTCTAGTCTACAAAGTGGCCTGCCATTAGAAGAGTTTTCTGTAAGATCCTGACTGCTGTCACTTCTCTCCATGTGTCTGTAGTGCAATCAAGCCAGCCATCTGTGATAATGGCGATGGGACCTACCATGTTTCTTATACCCCAGAGGTGCTGGGCACATACATTGTCTGCGTCTCTGTCAAAGGGCAGCATGTGCAGGTGAGGCTTCCAGCTCAATGACTGTGTGAGGCATGGGGTGGAGTGAATCGGGCAGTTAAGCTGTTCCCAGGAGAACCCACAGATCTCCCGATTCCCTTCCTCTGACCAGAAACACTTCCTTCCTTCCCTGTGATAGTGCAGCAGACATTGAATCTTCGCTGTCCCACCTTTATATCTCAGTTCTTCCCAGAGGAATCTAAGGGGCTGGGTTCCTTATCCCTTGCATCAGTCTCTCACCTAGGAAGAATCTCCTGCAGTCACCCAGAAAACCATCTCAGCTTGGCCCTTTCTTCCCTTCTGTCAGTCAGTCCCCTTGCTGTCCCCTCTTGCTTCTTGCTCTGGTTCCTTTCAGAAATTTCACAGGCTCCCTGCTGATAGATTGCCGCCAGCCTCCAAGTTTACTTGTTGCTGCCCCCTAAGCCCTTTGCTGGTTCGCTTCCTAATTGCCCATCTATTATCTCTAACTAATTTTCTTAATCACCTTTTGAGAAGAATGCTGTCCAAGGCACAAATCAATTTTCACCATTTCTCCTTTGTCTGCTATTTTGACTGGTTCAAGGAATTCTGGTAGATTGCAGAAGTATAACTTTCCTTCACAGAACTCCTGCTGCTTTTATCATCTCACATTCATCTAGAGCTGTGATTCTCCTCCCGGGTGCCAGAGCACCTTGGAATGCCATGCAATCCTTTCAAGGGTGTTGCAGGGTGACACAAAATGCTAGGTGGGAAAACATGATTCACAAGATGAACCCAGAGATTTCAAATAGAAATCCATTGTTGTGGTCTTTTTGAGTTTTTTTTTCAATAAAAAAACCTGCTCTATTCTTCTTGTTTAGTCAAAATTCTGAGGGGTGCCTCCTCTAGGCTATCCAGGGGTTCCTTGAGTCTAAAAACGTTGAGAACCACTGATCTAGAGGGCATTTAATACACTGTGTTTTGTCACCTGGTGCTAAAGCTAGGTTCATTAGGCCTGTAATTCCCAGAATCACTCAAGCAGCATTTGATACCAACCAGGGCCGCAGCATGGTAGTAGATGTGCCAAGCACTCATCTCTGTTCCCTTGTCCTCATTAGGGCTCTCCATTCACTTTAACTGTGAAGAACAAATTCCGGAAGCACCAGGGTGTGTTTCACTGCTGCACATTCTGCTCCAGTGGAGGCCAGAAAGCTGCTCGCTGTGCCTGTGGTGGGACCATGCCAGGTAAGCACAGAGCTCTCTCCAGACTTGAGCTTCAGCCAGGAGTGTTTGTTATATCCCATCTATCCCCTTTCACCTATCACTGTGCCTGTAAGTGCTCTGGAATCAGTCCTGCCCCAGCCCGTGCATCTGCCCTCCCATGACCTGGAGGAATGTGAATGTATATCCTGCCAGGATTGGACTACAGCTGAGAGAAGACTCCAAGTCCAGATGGTTCGGCTCTTTTAAGCACCCAAAAGTTCAACTCTCCATGCTTCCCTTGACCCTGGTAAATGGGAAGCATTCTGAGTCCCAGCTATGTACAGATCATGGTCTAAAATGAAAGTTTGATTTAGCCACACTTTTAATTAGAGCTGGCTTCCCTTCTCCCATGCAAGGCCCACGTTTGTCTTTTAAGGTTTGCATGTGGTAAAAATAGGAACGGCCTTTTCCCACTGGGACCTCTTCCCCTGTGCCTGGTCTGGAGATGAGCTGTTGGGAGCACAGTCCTTGTCTGTAGGCTCCAGGAGATGGCACAGACAGGTGAGATCAGGTTCTCCAGGGCTAAGCTGTCTTTTCCACCAGAGGCGGTTTGAAGGGTTCTGGTGCTGCCAGTCCACAGCAGAAGGATCTGAGTTTGTTCTGTGTGTGCACAACCATGTGTGCAGTGACCCCTCTACACCACCAGCCAAGCTATGGGTTTCAGGGCACACTTAGGAAGTCACTACCCACTAGAACTTTCTTTCTCATATTCTCAGCTAAACTAATGTTGCTTCTTCTCTTTCCTTGGGATGGGTAGGTGGATTCCAAGGCTGCGGCCATGGGCACAAAGGTCACCCCGGTTCTCCCCACTGGTCATGCTGTGGAAAAGTTGTTGAACACTCTGAGTGCCCCGGTGGGCCACTGGGTAAGACTCTGCAGCGGAGCCTGCTCAGAACTGTAGCACTTTGACAGATGACAAAGTCCCCACAGACCTGGAGTGTCTCTGCTGGCTGGGACTCATGTCTGTCTCAGCAGGGTCACAGAGACGGTATGTGTTGCCAGGAAGCACCTTGCTGAGACACAGAGCTGCTGTGGGGTGTGCTAGGAAAGAGAGACCTGTTAAAATAAATACATGCCTTATATTTTGCCTGGGGGATATCTGTGAGCACTTGTTTTCACATGTGGTTAGAATGAACTGTGGGAAGCACAACACTGACTGCTGCTCAGTGAGAACAAGGAATTTGGTAACTAGGCACTGAATTCCAATCCCAAGTGAACAGTCATGGGGAGGAAGGATCAGCACATGCAGGAAGGTGAAGTTACCTCCCAGAGAGGGTCAAGACGCATCTTGTTCTACAAGGTTGACATTCTCTGCCTCTGCTCCCTTTCTCTGTTCTCAGCACATAGTTGTGAAGAGACCAAAGGTCCTGGTTTGGTTGCATTCCTAGAGCTTTTCTGTACATGCTTAGGAAAGGCTTGGCACATGACTTATTCCTTCTGCCTCTGCCAGACACAGTACTAGATTCTGATCTCATTTGTGTGGATACATCACAATTGCACTCAATAGATCCACTATTTTGCCTGCAAGCTGTACTCTCCCTCATGCCTCTAGGTGTGCTGCCTCAGCCTGATCTTTTTAGGTCCCACAAACTACACAGAATCAGGCTAGATTGATACCTGGTTATGTAAAATCCAGGGGAAGCCTCTGGGACTGGAGGAGAGGGTGTTGATGATTAAGTTAGAGGGTGCGTTACCAGCTGAGTCAGTGTTACACCTGTTTTGCACTGTGGTGGTATGAGACACTGCAGCTGGAAATGGAGTGAGACACTGAAGTGAATGCACCTGTTGCACGTGGAGAAGCTGGGGGCAATCTGAGTGCTCAGGTATGCCTCCTAGCAAGTGGCAGAAGAGGAGCTTCCACAGAACTTTGGCCAGTGTAGAAAACCAGCAGAAGAAATTACCTGAATTGAGCCATGCCCCTTGCTTTAGATCACATGAGCTTCTTGCTTCTGCTTTTTTGGTTCCTCTTTGGCAGAGTCCCATAGGGATTATGCTGTTTTTCATCTGCAGGGTGGCATTACATTCTTCTCACAGCTGGGAAAGCTAGAAAAGAGAAATGGCTTCCCCTTCTTTGTAGGCCACTGGGACAAATGCAGCAGGATGTCGTTGTAAGGCTGAACTGTGACTACATTTGGATTTCACCTACTTGCCTGAAGTGCTTGTTAATAACAGGTCTAAATGCTCAGGAGTTACCTAGTGTTTTGTGGAATTAAAACTTTTTAGCATTCACATTTAATAACTCTCTTGTAAAGTTACTAGGGACTTTGGTTTGTTAATTCTCTTTCTACATTTTAAATCAGCTGAATGTGAGCAGTGCCCATTAAGCTTTGGGGTTCCAGCCCCTCGTACCCCAGCTGCTAGTTCCCCTACTCTGCAGTAAGTCCCACTGCTGCCATCTGTGTGTGTGCTGGGTCCACGTATTGACATGTTGGACCCTTGGGAGTAAGGTATGCTCTATGCCCAGACTTGAACAATCTGTCATACCCAGGCAGATGTGCGTGGACTCTTATCACTTGCACAAATCTTGTGAGGAGGTAGTATATTAGGGCCCACCACAGAAGCAGCTGGGGTTCCTCATGCAATCCAGGACTGAGAAGGGGACCTGCTTGAGGTGTGGACAGAAATAAACCAGTCGGTTTTATTGAGGTAGGGGCAGTACACAAGTTTACATAGCAACAGTGTGATTCTTGTTTATGAATAATAACTGTCATAAATATTAACTAATAAAAAATGGTTGGGGCATTGCTCAGCCAAGCCTTCATGATTCTTTTTTTTTTACCCTGCTGTCCTCCTTTCCCCTACTTTCCTCCTACAAAGCAGATTTTGGACCACCATCCTTTCAGCTAAGGAGGATGGAACCATCTTTATACCTTTCCTTTCATCATCCAGAAGGGGAGCTGCTGAAGAAGGCATTTCTTCTGTGCTTAGAGAGCTGTGCTTGTTAGGCTCTTTTCATCTGTAGGCTGCTGCCACTGACATCTGGGAGAGGAAGTACTGTTTGAGTACCTTTTTCACCAATAGCTGTCAATTAACTGATAGTGGACAATTAATGAAAATCAAAGTCTATTTGCAAATAACTGGGGAATGAGTGACTAGATTCATCAAATAAATGTATGGTGGATTGTTCTCCCAGCTCTGCTCACAGACAGTCCCCTTTGCCATGAGGTTATTGCAGTTTTCCCTGCTCTGCTGTTGCTCCAGAAACCTGCAGTTTGTAATTCGTTGGGTTGTCCTGGCTAGTCCCCAACATTGTTTCTGTTTTCTGACATGCCTCCTGAGTCACACAGACCCTTCAAGATGGTTGTGTGACCAGTGCTGTTGTAAGAGCCTTGAGGTCAATGTAGTTGTACAGGAAGTTGGGATGCTCTCCTTTTCTACAAACAGTCATTAGCAAGAAATTCATGAAAAGAAAATGGGCACTGCCAAACATGAGGGAGGTAGTACAGTTACAGGAAGGGGAAAATGATAAGGAGGGTAAAGCAGGGTTAGGGTAAAGGAGAGCTAGTCGTTCTCGCCCACTAGGCTTCATGTGGGGAGGGGGAGCAAATATAACTGTGGGGAAATAAATTTTCAGCAGAGATGAAGTATAACAGTGAGCAATGAACTTCTCTTGCTGTAGTGGGAGTAACAAAGCAGATGTGGAGCAGGGCCGGACATGGGCATGGATGAATCAGATGGCCGCCCAGGGACCAGACAGAAAGGGGGCCCTAAAATGGTAACTTTTTCTGTTGTCCAATTACTATTATCATTATCTGATGAAGGGGGTCCCAATACTAAAATTTTGCCTGGGGCCACCAGGAATCTAGGTATAGTGCTGATGTGGAGTGAATGTGGTTGTGGACTAGGGCAATGGTTCTCAACCTTTTTTGTACCAAGACCTGTTTGTAAACATTGATGGCCAGTCCCGACCTAGCACCCGTCACTGCCGACCCACTGTCCCCAGCCCCACAGTGTGTGGGGCATAGAGTGTGTGTGTGGGGGTGGTGTATGTGTGGCATGCACCACCCCAAGCAGGCCCTTGCAGACTGGAGCTCTGCCAGCTTGCAAGGGAAAAGCCACGGCTTCCCATGTTTTTCTCCTTTAAAGGAGAATCTATTTTTCAAGTTTGTTCACAACCGTTTCATATATTCTTGCTACCCACTTTTGGGTCGTGACCCACAGGTTGAGAAACGCTGGGCTAGGGAACTCTCAAAGGGGTGTGGAGCATGGCTGTGGTTGGGGAGGAGAGGGAGGAGGCTACAACTGGCAAATTAAGCAGGGGGTAGCAGCTGAAAGAGCTTGGTGGTTTTACAGCAGGGAGATGGAGGGTGTGGAAGCCCTTAGCAGGGGATTTCAGGTTACAATCACGGCTGGCGGAGGAGTTTACGGAGTCAGCCAACTGAAGGAGTAAAGATACTCCTCCAGTGAAGCTGGAGGACTCACCAATCTAAAGGAGACTGGTTGGGGGCAGGTGAAACTACTGGGTGGAGAGGGAAGGGAGGATGTGGCATTAGGCAAAAAAACCTGGAGTTGTTCCAGGGTGTGGGAGGTGTGCAGAGGAAGGCTCTGTGCTGCTGCCTCTTCCCCCTCTCCATCAGGGTCCTTGCCTAGAAAGTGAAGGCACAGGCCTGCCTCGGGGACAAAGATGTGTACTGTTTAAAAAGTGCTAGAAGGGATGGCTCAAGGCATCACAGACAAGTCCAGCTGAGTATGCACATAAATGATAAAAACAGGAAAATGTGCATGTTTACAGGCTCAAAATGAGCAGATCCCGCAACAGTGCCAATTGCATGGCCCGGAGTGCGAGTGTAGACAGCTGTTTTCAGGATGGAGTTCAGAGGCAGACCACCCGCGGGGCTGGCAGTCCTCAAGGAGTGCTTCCGGGAGCAGGGAGGAGTATGAGGTTTGGAGCTTGAACAAACAGGCCTACACACTTTCCAACAGTATCTGTCCTGATGCCCTCTTTTCTTTCGTGAGCAAATCTAGTTCTTCCTTATCTCGCTCCCTCCTTCCCGCTCAACACTGATGAGAGCTGAGAAGGAGCATGGCTGGCAAGGGAGTGTCTTCACGTGCCCGCCCCAGGCCTTGGGAGAGGAGCTGCCAGGGGTCTCTATTCCATGCCCCTCAAGCCAAAAAATGCCTCGGGGAGCTTACATAATACCTCCCCCTCAGGTCTGGAGAGAAGTTGTGGACCAGGGATGAAAGAACAGGAGCTGCAGAGGACTCCAGCAACCTCCAAGGCCTCTAATAACCTCTTTCTGGTCCAGTTTCAAGGCCCAATTCTCCACCCTCGTCTTCCTTGAGATGCTGGTTACCTTTGATACTGCCACTCACTTTGTGAAGCCCTGCCATCCCTTGGCCTTTCCTGATGACTTATGCCTGGTTCTCCTCCTGCTTTTTAGCTCCTTCAGGCCAAATTCCAATTTTTTAAAGCCCAAAAATAACTTACGAGATGAAGACTGCCCAAAGACAAGGAATGGTTTGGTCCGGGGACAGGAAGTGAAGAAAAACAGCAGTAAGCAGGCAAGTCTTGGCTTTTGCATTTCGACTCCCTAGAAGGAGGGTGGGGAGGGGTGGGGGAGGAAGAGTTAGGGATCAGGAGGGGAGTACTTGTCCAATCCACCCTTCCTATGATGAAACCTACGGATCTTAGCAATCCATGTGCTGCTTCAGCATGACAGAAACTAGGGAGAATGCTCTGGGTTGACCAAGGTCTGAGAGAGAGCCACAAAAGCTTAGGGGGGTATCCCTAAGACAATAACCCTATTGACTGTAATGAAGACCTCTTATGGTGATTTTTTGAAAAGCTTGCAATAGGGCCATCACTGACTTTGGTGGGGGCCAAGGTGCACAGTTGACAGCCCAGAGGTTGCAAATTCAAGGCCAAAACAGAAGAACGGATGATGCAGCCTGTCAGATTCCAATGAATCTGCAAATTCTGCTAAATATCTTGTCAGAAGGACACAAAAAAGGAAAGGGCTGACCAGAGTTGCATTAAGAAGCTAAAAACCTCTTTCAGGCCCCAGGGTTGACCTGCTCTCATATCAGACCCATGGTGCAGATTGTGGAGGCACTGGAACTCTAAAAAGACACATCAGCATGTTGAAAATGTGTTCATAATTGCAATCATTGAGCAACCTTAATACAGGGGTCAGCACTGTCCCTCATTTAGTGATGACTAACATAAGCCTCATTGCTGTTGACCATGCCTGATGGGAAACCTGCTTGTGTCCCCATGGCTTCCTCATACCGCAGTTTGCGCTACTGGGAGTCACCACTCCTTTGCGGAGTCCAGCTATTTAAGCAGAGCACCCTGAAGAATGCGTCTTACAGGGAAGGAGGCAGGTCTGCATACTGTGTTGGTTTTTCCAGCACTCGGCACAGTGTGAAGTGCTGTCTGAAGTGATCCTGTTACCATGGCTTCCCAGGGTCAGGTCATTTTCTGGAGGTACGGTACAGCCTTTATCTGCTTTTGGAGACATGGAAGGGAATTGCTATATGCACAGAGGGGTGGGCTTCTCTGGCATTTTTGGCTGTTGTGCCGCTTTTGAGAGGGAAGTTATCTGCTGTTTGCCTCAATACCATGTTTACTGGGGTTGCTTGAGTTTGGCAAGTATGCAGACAGCTGGCTTGGCATTTATAAGCAGTAGACTCTGCGGCTTAAACTGGGACATGCATGCTTCTAGAACCCTAATGCTAGTTACCCATTACAGCAACAGTGAAGAGCAGTTCCCAGTGAAGTCCACACATCTGGATTGTAATATCTCCTACCTGCATGCAGCTAAAAGAATGTGAATGACTTTGGAAAAGCTCTGAATGTCAGCTGTCAGCATGCAAGAGCTGGGCAAAGCTCCGCAAGTCTAAGAAACTGTAGAAGGCAATGTACAGCCTATACACGTGCCATGTGTAGTGTCTTAGTTGCAGCACACCTGTTCACTCCTACATAACAGCTGCACAGATTAGGAGCTGGAAGGGGAGGAAAATGATAGCATGTCTTTGTTCAATAATTTGATCTTCTTTTGGCTGTGTTGGTGAAGCCAAAATTAAAATAACACATGGTCTCTGGTCTCTCGTGTGGGGCACCTGGTATCCAGGTCAAGAGTCACTGAAACAGTTTCCACCAGGTTGCTGGTTGGTGGGCTCCAGGACATCAAATGAGCTGGAGGACACAGACTGGTTTCTAGTGACCAGGTGCCAGTGTCACAAAAACACCCCTAACTTTCTCCTTCTCCCTTGCTGTGGGCTCTCAGGATAAAGGCACAGTGGCAGAGCTATGCTGGTATCTCTTCTGTTGAGTTATTAGGAATAATCAGACTGGTACTACAGTCTTTTGAACAAGCCGCAGCAGCAGAATGCCATGTGTGGGAGAATGAAACCCCTTTTTTCTTGTTATACTTTCTTTATTCTTTAAATGAGGTACAGGGTTCTCTCCTGTGCTAAGTAGTAATACTCCTGTATTCACCCAAATCTAAGATGACTCTGAATTTAAGACACCTCAATTATTAGATTTTAAACATGGAAAATTATAAATTTGTTCACATTTGCCATGTCTAGAATCTAGTTATTGGAGGGCTATCTTAAAGTCATCCCTCCCACCACTGCCACAGGGAAAGTAGTGGCAGAGAAAGCAGCAGCTAGGAAGCCAGCACCTTTTTCCATGCTCTTGCCCTCAACTTGCCACTAGTTCCCACCCACAAGCCTGTCCCAGTGCCTTCCCCGTCCTACCACTTGTTCCCCTCTTGTGCCTGCCCCACCCCCCTTACATTTGCAGCTGCTCCTGCTCTGTCTGCTAGGGGCTGGAGCACGCTGCTGGGCCAGGCAGTAGTGTTGGCTCTGGCTTCAGCCTCCAACCCCAGTCAGGGTTGGGGTTGCAGTTGAGGTCAGAGCTGCAGCAGCTGCCCCACAGCTCCACATACCCCTTTCCTGCACTGCCCCTGCTCTGTGTGTCCCTTTCTCTGTGCTCCCCTTACACTGCATGTCCCTTCCCTGCACACCTTCCCTATGCTTCTCTCACTCCACATTCCACTTCCCCCATACTCCGTGTCCCTTTCCCCGCACTCGACTTGATCTGCACATCCCTTCACCTGTGCTCTCCCCACACTTGTGCACCTTTTTCCTGTGTTCTCCGCACTGCATACCTTTTCCCCCACATTTGCCCCAGCGCTATGCTCCCCATGCTCTGTCCTCACCTTTCCCTGCACCCTTTTCCCATGCTCCACGAGACCCTACCCCTGCACCCCTTCCCCACAATCACCTTCTTTTGCATGTCCCTTCCCCTGCAATCCCCCAACTACCCTTTCCTCCATGCTCCCACCCCACTGCACCCCTTTTCCATGTACCACCTATGTGCTGCATGATCCACCCTGGCCCTGTCTGGAGCCACAGCAGTTGCTTGCCTGGTCTGTACTTGAATCTAAGATTAGGGTCCCAGTCCCCCATCCCCCCCAACCAATTCTGAATGGGGGAGGCAATACTTGTCTTAGATTCAAGTAGATATGGTCATTGTTGTACTGTGAAGTGCCTTGCCAAGATGCTCCTGGCAGAGTGCACCAATTTCTTAGTAAACTGTGAAAATGGCAATACAGTATCATGAGATCTAATGACAACATGTATTATGAATGTTAAATGGGCCCTTTATTTTTATTTTTATTTTTTTTTGCATTTGGAATATAGGTAGCAAGCAGCTCTGTTACTCTTAGATGTGTGGTCCTCCTGACTGACCATCTGCAACCAGCCTGACTGGTTTTGTCAGAGTAGCAGTAGCTGATGGGTATGACAAGTGAACACCCACCACTTGATTCTTTCAGATTATCACAATTTTTGCATTGGCTGAATATCTGTCTTGTCTGGACAGTAACATTTAACTGAAGCAGCAGGAGAAACAGGGGATGGCCCTGATGATCATGGAAACTGGGGGCTCCCTCATTGAGAAGCAGGGCTCTGCAGTCAATACAGAAAGCAGACTGCAAATGAACTGCTGAGACCGTCTGAGGTTCCTCAGTGCACTGGACTCATGATTGCCACAAATCTGTTTAAATTCAATAGGAAAGATTATATATGAAATGGACTACTATGCTGTTTTCTTTAAAACTTGAGTTGCTGCACAACATATCAAGGAGCAATATAACACCCTGTGGTAGGTCACACCTTCTTACCAGGGGGTTCCAGATGAGTTATGGAAGGGTAAAGGATCCCAGAACAAAACTTTATATGTAACTAATGATTTTAGGATACCCAGCTGAGCATGCCCTAAGGGGGACTGGCTAGTTTTACAGAGGGTTGGTTCTCAGGAGTTTCTGAAAATCAAGTCCCCTTAAAGGCACATCTCAAGGTAGGGACCCAAAGCTGAGACAACCAACATTTTTAATCTTTTGGACACAACTCACAAGTGGTTTGTTTTATCAGTTCTTTTTGCTCACTTGAGCTACTGGAGAAGGCAGTGATTCACATGTAGCAGTGGCTTCAAGTGATTCACATGTAGCAGTAATTAATTGCGATGCTTCTCAGAGCCAGGAGGCTTAAAAGGAGGACAAAACCTTCAACTGCATGCTAGCCCTTCCTTAAGGCTGAGATAAAGGCAAGGTCCTCTCCAATGGATTTGGTTTTAACCAAGTAAGATAGAGCTAGATCCAGACTACCTGCCCTGTGCAGGGCTGCCCAGAATGAGTAGACAAAGGAGTATTTGTCTGCTAATTCCCTCCCCACAGCAGGCACCTGGGAAAGGAATGGAGAGCAGTTTTCCACACCTGCCCTCCTGCCTCCAACTCTGGCTGGAGAAGCTGAATCAGCCATTAAAGATGGGTCACAGTTTACTGCAGGGGACAGGAGTGAATTATTATCCCTTGAGAGCAAGGATGAAGCAGGGGAAGGATGGATAAGAGGGCAGGGTGGCATGTGGATGAGTCACTTATGCCTCCAAGGCTAACCCTAGCTTAGTGCAGGTGCCCATTGCTTGAGGATGTACATACCATCACAGTCTAGCATTAATTAATCCTCACAACATCATTGTGTGGCAGGTCAGTGTTATCTTCATGGTACAGGCAGGTTCAGTGAGTCACAAAGGCCTAGATTGTGCTGCTGCAAGGATTTCACTTCTGGTTTAACTCCAGAGAAGCCAAAGTAGCTAATGAGGGAAGAAGGTGTTAATGCAGCAAAAGAGGGTGAGTGCCTGGCTTGGAGGGACTTGCCACATTCAGCCTACATTGGCTAGGGTGGGAGTTACCATCTTGGATCAACCAGAAGGTTGGGTTGTTGAGTCCTGAGGGTTGGATTCCTTGGCACACACTGAGCACCACCTGACTCCTCTATTGATCCCCATGGCTGCTGATTTAATCCAGATGGTTCCTGGAGTGAGGGACTGATCAGTGCGGGCAAGGGTGACAGAGCTGGATGGTGAGCAGTGAGAGGCACTGTGTGCGCTCCCTGAGCACCAAAGTGAAATGATGTTTTAAGATTGTAGCAGTGACATGTCTGTCCTCTGCCTTAGCTGAATGGGTGAGTGAGGCCTGGCCTGTCCCTTGCTTAGCTCAGAGACACTTATCCAAACCTTGGATCTGAGTCTGGTATATCCCCTGACCTCTAAATATTCCCAACTGCAGGTAAGTGGAGAGGTAAAAGAGAGAATTAGTCTCAGCTATGCCTGATCTGTACTCAAAAGCCAGGTACAAATGGGAGAAACAAGTTGTGCCCCTCCGTCACCTAGTAACCCCCGTGGTTACCAACTTGCCCAAAGAGCCCAAGGTTTACACCTTTCTGACCAAAGCGTCTAGGCTGCCTATACACATGCTTGGGGGCAGGGGGCATTTTAATTAAAGTAATTCCTGGACAGCGTTTTAATTAAAATGGCTCACAATCACATATATTAAGCCCCTACATCTTTTAAAATGGCCACGGGATGCTTTATCTAAAGCTCATTTAATGAGGTTTAGATAAAGTGCCCCCATGGCCATTTTCAAATGTGCAAGGGCTAAATACATGTGACATTGAGGCGAAGCTAGAGCGTTCTTATTAAAATGCAAATGAACGTGTGCATAAGCAGCCCTAGTTTTCGGCCTTCTCTGTCAGCAGAGGTGGGGTGCAGATATTTGGACCCTGTAGCTTTCTTCAGGACAGCTGAGGTAACTGTGGGGCTGAGACTAAGATACCGGGAGTAGTAGTCAAAGTCCTGGGCAGGATGGCTTTCTCTTTTGTCTTTTTAGGCACAACTTGAGATGCTTCATGCATGCTATTCCCTGGACCCAGAGATCCCAGACTGACGAGGAAGGTAATCATGACCTTTAGTTTAACTTGTTGGATCTTGAGCAAGCAGTTGGTGGTCTCACCGTCTGAGCTGGCTATTTCAAATCACAATGTACGTGTAGGAAGGTCACTGTCATGGAAGTGGTCTAGAGGCTCTTTGGGGGCTGAAGGTTTTGATGGTGTGACATCAGTACTGGGTGGGCATCTGTG